GGCCGCCAGCGGACCGTGCATGGCTTGGTACGCCAAATACATGAACGTCGTATCTGCATCTAGTGTTCGAGCGACCCTGGAAATCCAACGTTTCTTGGTATAGACGTGTGTGTGTGTAATAGACGTCATTTCCAAACCATGCATCGAAATTATCGTGGAGGTCAACAGTTGTTCCCCATCTACTCAGGTAGTAGGTCTGAGCAACATTATCAAAGACATAGAAATAATCGAAACCACGGCAAATTGGTGTGCGATCCCACGTGGTCATTCCTGCGTCCCACTTTCCGATAGCAGCCGCCTTGAAGCCATCCTGATGCAGACGATCCGCAACACTACTCACATTCGTTGGAAAGTCAGTCGGCAGACCGTTCATTATCCCCGCGCCATCGAGCGCAACGCTTGAGCCAAAATGGCTACGGAAGCCCAATGGAGTCTTTTGGGGAGCCCTATGGAGACAATTGATCCAATGTTGTCGAATGGGGTCCAATGTTGTCGAAAGAGCTCCATTGATTCCAACCGAGTCCAATGCTGTCCAATGAAGCCGTACGGGTTTTCCAGTGGAGCACAAGGGAGCCCGATGGAATCCGATGGAGTCCGATGGAGGACAATGGAGTCGCATGGGTATTCGCATGCAGTCGAATTGTGTCCTGCGGAAGTCTAAGGAGTCCAATGGAGTATGGAGTCCTATGGAAGACAATTGAGTGCTATGGGGAGTCATATGGAGACCAATGGAGCCAATTGAGTTCAATGGAGTCCTGTGGAAGTCCTATGGAGTCGTACGGAGTCCAGTGGAGTCCTAGGGAGTCTAATGAAGTCCCATGGGGAGTCCAGTAAAGTTCCAGTAGAGTCCCATGGAGTCCCACGGAGTCGTATGAGGTGTCCAATAGAAATGGAGCCCGTTGAAGTCGAATTGAGCGCAGTGGAGTCCACTGATGGATTCCATTAGAGCCGAACAGAGTCCAATGGAGTCCACTGGAGGCCAATGGTGACAAGGGGAAAGCAATGTGTTCCAATGGAGTCCAGTGGAGGCCAATGGAGTCCAACGGAGTCCTATAGGGTGCGACAGAGTCCGTTCAGTCAACCCGACTTCTTCTGCCTGGAGCTTACCCTGGCATGAACAGTTGGGGGCGAGGCACTCTGTTCGCAACCGACGACGGACGACACGAACTCGACCGGCCCGAGCAGGAGGCACGGCATGGCGCACGGCATTGCCTCGCAGCCCCCTGGCATCTGGACAGCCGAGCCCGACTTCGGAACGCCGCACACCGCGCCACGACGGGCATGCTTCGGGTCAGCCCCAAGCCCAAGGCTGGCCCCCTTGGCACGGCACACGGCGCCACGTGGCATGGGGCGGAAGGGCACAGCACCGCACGACACAGCGCTGCCCGATTGCACAGTCGCTCTCTCTCTCTCTCTCTCTCTCGCGTTCTGCCCCCTGCAAGAGCAAATGCCGATTGCATTGCGGGCCGCCGGCGGCTTCAAACTTGCATGCCCGCGCTGGGGTTGCCACCGCGTCAGCACGGCGCGAACCCACCGCAGACCAAACCCGCGCATGCTTTTAAGGCCCACAGCGCCAGAGTCACCCCCAAACCCCACGGGGCTGGCCCGCAGGGGCACCAGAAGCCCCGAACGCCGGCGCCGCCCCCGACCCCCACGTCCACAACCATGGAAGAGCGTGAGAGGAGCCGAACAGATGTGAGAGAGCGTGATCCACCGCCGCTTTACTGTGGAAAATTGCCAACCTTTTCCTCCGGAACCCGGGGGTCGCCCCCCCCCCCCTCCGAAAATCCCCCCCCCCTGCTGGAACCCCTCCCCCCCCCCCCCCCCCGGCAACCCCCCCCCCCTCCCCTCCCCCCCCCCCTCCCCTCGAAAAACCGGGGGGTCACTACCGGTCGAACCCATCCCCCCCCCCCCCCCCCCCTCAGGATCCGGAAAACAGGGGGGGGGTCACTACCGGTTCGAACCCCCCCCCCCCCTCGAAAACCGGAGGGGGGTCACTACCGGTTCGAACCCCTCCCCACCCCCCCACTCACCGCCAGCAAACGACTCCCGGTCCCTACCACCGTCCGCATCACATCCCCCACTGTTGTTCCCAGCACCACTGTCCTCACCACCACTGTCCCCACTGGTTCCACCACCGTCCCTATTGTCCCCACCAGTGCCCCCACCACTGTCGCACTGTCCCCACTGTCCCCACCACTGTTCCCACCACGGTTCCACTTTCCCCACTGTCTCCACGGCCCCAACCACTGCCCGACTATCCCCACTGTCCCCACTGTCCCACTGACTCCTCCGCTGTCCCACTGAGCTGTCCCACTGTTCCCACCACTGTCCCCACTGTCCCCACCACTGTCCCCACTGTACCTCTGTCCCATTGTCCCACCGCCGTCCTCGCCACCGCCTTCACCACTGTCCCACCACCATTGTACCCTCCACTGTCCCACTGTTTCCACCTCATTCCCACTGTGCCCACACCACTGTCCCCACCACCACCGTCCCCACCACTGTCCACTGTCCCCCCTGTTCCCACCATTGTCCCCACCACTGTCCCCACCACTACCGGCCCTCTACTGTCCCACTGTCCCACTGTCCGCACCACTGTCCCGCTGTCCCCTCACCACTGTCCCACCAACACCGTCCCCAGTGACCCCCCCCCCTTTTCATGATGAGCTGGGGGGGGGGGGAGGGGTTCGAACCGGTAGTGACCCCCCCCCGGTTTTCCGGAGGGGGGGGGGTGACGGGTTCGAACCGGTAGTGACCCCCCCCGGTTTTCCGCCAGCAGCGGTAGAACACGCTCTTTCACAGATGTACAGGTCCGCCTCCGTCCTCCCTCCCCCCGTCCAAGGCTGATAGTCCCCAACCATCCTGTGGTGCTGGGTCCTCGTTTTGAAGAGCCAGCGCCCCGCGTTCACTCCTCCTCCCGCTGCCCCTCCTCCCCCTCCTCCCTCCTCCCCTCCCTGCCTCTGCTCTCCGCATGCCCATCCCATTTCGGCACACCACTCGCACGTTTCGTGGCCCCATGGGGAGCTCCACCCAAGGCCCCAGTGGGAAAGTTCGCATGGCACCGCCGCCCCATTTCGGCACACCTCTCACACGCTTCGTGGCCCCTTGGGGAGCTCCACCGAAGGCACCTGTGGGCAAGTCCGCATGGCACCGCCGCCCCATTCTAGAACACAACCCACAAGTGTCGTGGCCCCACATGGAGCTCCGCCGAAGGCACCTGTGGGCAAGTCCGCATGCCACCGCCGCCCCATTTCGGCACACCCCTCACACGCTCCGTGGAGCCTTAGGGAGCTCCACCGAAGGCCCCAGTGGGAAAGTTTCCAGCATGGCACCGCCGCCCCATTCCGGCACACCCCTCACACGCTTCGTGGCCCCTTAGGGAGCTCCACCGAAGGCCCCAGTGGGCAAGTTCGCATGGCACCGCCGCCCCATTCTAGAACACAACCCACAAGCGTCGTGGCCCCACATGGAGCTCCGCCGAAGGCACCTGTGGGCAAGTCCGCATGTCACCGCCGCCCCATTTCGGCACACCCCTCACACGCTTCGCGGACCCATAGGGAGCTCCACCGAAGGCCCCAGTGGGAAAGTTCGCATGGCACCGCCACCCGATGTCAGCACACCCCTCACACGTTTCGCGGCACCACTGGGAGTTCGCATGGCACCGCCGCCCCATTCAGAAGTTTCGCGGCCCCACAGGGAGCTCCGCCGAAGGCCCCTGTGGGCAAGTTCGCATATCACCGCCGCCCCATTTCGGCACACACCTCACACGTTTCGCGGCACCACAGGGAGTTCCACCTAATTATGGCCCCAGTGGGAAAGTTTCCAGCATGGCACCGCCGCCCCATTTCGGCACACCCCTCACACGCTTCGTGGCCCCATAAGGAGCTCCACCTAAGGTTCTGGTGGGAAAGTTCGCATGGCACCGCCGCCCAATTTCGGCACACCCCTCACACGTTTCGTGGCCCCATAGGGGAGCTCCGCCGAAGGCCCCAGTGGCGACATTCGCAGGCGTCCTCCCGATTCATGTCGGCACACCCTTTACACGTTTCGTGGTAGAAGGCTATACCGCGTGCGTTACTCGGAGTTTGCGCGCCCCCCTCCTTCGTCACATCTCCCTCGCGGCACTCGCAGCTGCATATGGTTGGGTCCTTCGTCCTTTCTGGCGGGAGGGGTGCGCCGCAGCCGCAGCACGAGACGAAGCCCGAGCCGCAGCCGCAGCTGCAGTCGCAGCCACAGCCGCAGCCGCAGCCGCAGCCGCGGCCACAGCCACAGCCGCAGCCCGAGTCGCAGCCGCAGCTGCAGCAGGAGCCGTGGGGAGGTACGAGGCGCATCTGTCCAGCTGTCCTTCGACATGGGCTTCCGACGCGCTTGGAGGAGGAGGAGGAGGAGGACGAGGAGGAGGAGGAAGGAGGAGGAACGAGGAGGAGGAGGAGGAGGAGCAGGAGGAGGAGAAGGAGGAAGGAGGCGCAGGAGAAGGAGGAGGAGCACCAAGCGGAGTGCGGACAAGCCCACCGCGCCTCCGGCTCCCCACGCCCTCTGTAGGACCAGCGCCCTCCTCTCCTCCTGTGCGCAACCCGGGGCACTCCCGCGGCGCACGGGCGGCGGCGGAGCGGAGCCGCGCGCGGCGCGGGGCTCTGAGAGAGGCGGGGCCCGCAGGCAGGGGCCGAGTTTCAGGACCCCGACATCGGACGAGTTATTTCAGCATCATTGACGCATAGTGGGCTTACTCTGGTCCTCCTCCTCCTCCTCCTCCTCCCCTCATCCTCTGCCTCATCCTCTTCCTCCCTCCTCCCTTCCTCCTCCTCCTCATCCCCTCCCCTCCTCCTCCTCCTCCGCCTATTCCTTCCTCCCCTTCCCCTTCCTCCTCCCCCTCCCCCCCATCCCCCTCCCCTCCCCCTCCCCCTCCTCCTCCTCCTCCTCCTCCTCCTCCTCCTGCTCCTCCTCCTCCTCCTCCTCCGGGAGGGAGGGAGGGAGGGAGGGAGGGAGGGAAGGAGGGCCTTGGCCGCCACCAGGGTCATCGTCTCGGTGGAGGAGTGGCCGCCGGCCGCCTCGTCGACGAAGCCCTCGAAGCCGGCAAATCCGCCAACCCTCTGAAGGGCGCCCGGGGCACGGCGCGGCGCGGGCGGCTGCGCGGGCGCCGCTGGCGAACGCTGGAGGCCAGGCGCCCAGGACCCCCTCGCGCTGCGAAAAAATCACGACGGGAGGCTGTTCGCTCTATTTTCGGCCTCCGGGGACCCTTCTAGGCAGAGCCTAGGTAGGGAATTATTGTTGATCCCCCCCTCCGGTGACCATTGCGTTTTTCAATTGGTGTGCTTCCCCCGGGGTTCGGACCCTGTTCTTAATCAGGGAAAGTCACGGGGCTCAAACTGGGTTGTTGTCCCCCGGATTACAACAACAACAACAACAACAACAACAACAACAACAACAACAACAACAACAACAACAACAACAAGTATGCCAGTGCGACCCTACCTAGAAGTTCGAGCCCCTGGGAAAGCAGCATTAGCAGTAACAGAAAAGCTGAGCTAAAGCTAAGCTAAAGCTAAGTTGAAGCTAAGCTAAAGCTAAGCTAAAGCTAAGCTAAAGCTAAGCTAAAGCTAAGCTAAAGCTAAGCTACAGTTAAGCTACAGTTAAGCTAAAGCGAAGCTAAAGCTAAGCTAAAGCTAAGCTGAAGCTAAGCTAACGCTAAGCTGAAGCTGAGCTAAAGCTAAGCTGAAGCTAAGCTGAAGCTAAGGCTAAGCTAAAGCTAAGTTAAAGCTAAGTTAAAGCTAAGCTAAAGATAAGCTAAAGCTAAACTAAAGCTAAGCTAAAGCTAAGCTAAAGCTAAGCTAAAGCTAAGCTAAAGCTAAGCTAAAGCTAAGTTGCAGTTGAGCTAAAGCTAAGCTAAAGCTAAGCTAAAGCTAAGTTAACGCTAAGCTAAAGCTAAGCTACAGTTAAGCTAAAGCTAAGCTAAAGCTAAGCTAAAGCTACGCTGAAGCTAACCTAAAGCTAAGCTAAAGCTAAGCTAAAGCTAAGCGAAAGCTAAGCTAAAGCTAAGCTAAGTCTAAGCTAAAGCTAAGTTACATGTAAGATAAATCTAAGCTAAAGCTAAGCTGAAGCTAAGCTAAAGCTAAGCTGAAGCTAAGCTAAAGCTAAGCTAAAGCTAAGCTGAAGCTAAGCTAAAGCTAAGCTGAAGCTAAGGCGAAGCTAAAGCTGAGCTAAAGCTAAGGTAAAGCTAAGCTAAATCTAAGCTAAAGCTAAGGTAAAGCTAAGGTAAAGCTAAGCTAAAGTTAAGCTAAAGCTAAGCTAAAGCTAAGCTAAAGCTAAGCTAAAGCTAAGCTAAAGCTAAGCTAAAGCCAAGCTAAAGCTAAGTTTAAGCTAAGCTAAGCTAAGCTAAGCTAGGCTAGGTTAAGCTAAACTAAGCTAAGCTAAGCTAAGCTAAGTTAAGCTAGGCTAAGCTAAGATGAGATAAGCAACGCTAAGCTAAGGAGACGTAACTGGGGGAACCGCGGGGCGGATACTGGGGGAACCGCCCGGGACGCTTTCCACTGCCCGGCCCTTTAAGCCCAGAGAGTAAGAACCCTTCTAGGCAGAGCCTAGGTGGGGTAAGCTAAGATGAAGTAAGCTAAGCTAAGATGAGATAAGCAACGCTAAGCTAAGGGAACGTCACTGGGGGAACCGCGGGGCGGATCCTGGGGGAACCGCCCGGGGCGTTTTACACTGCCTGGCCCTTTAAGCCAACAGGGTAAGAACCCTTCTAGGCAGAGCCTAGGTAGGGAACAACAATCATTTTACCCTCACGCACGATGTTTCCACACGAAGCATGCGACCAGCATGATTACTATCCACATCATGGGGGACTCTTGTTCTATACCGGGGTCAGTTATTCCCATTCCCAGATCTCCCGCACAATTGAGGTCGTGCAAATACCTCCTCCGAGGAATTTCAACTGATCCCGCCTCGAAAACACATGCCCGCGCCTTGCTGCGCCGATGAGAGACCGCCAGTGGAATCCCAGCGAAGGGTAAAGCACAAGGAAGCATCGAAAGACAAGATTGCCTTGGTGGGGATGGGAGCTGCGGGCGGTGAGGCAAGCAACAACCACAATCACCACCACCACCAGCACAACAACCACCACCACCACCACCACAACAACAACATCAACAACAACAACAATAACAACAACACCAACAACCACAACCACAACAACAACCACAACAACGCCAACAACAACAACCACAACAACAAGAACAACAAGAACAACAAGAACAACAACAACAACATCATCAACAACAACAACGACAACAACGACAACAACGACAACAACAACAACAATCATCTTAAGACTGATCGCTCTTATATGCGCGCGCGTCACTCAATCTGTAAATCCCAAACCCTCGATACCCACCCTCTTCGTCTTCGGTCATACCCCTTTGGGGGTATATCTTTTTTACTCGCCACGTGTAGTTGGCGCAGCCCCTAAAACAGGAAGAGCAGGGGGAAGGAGGAAGGGAGAGCGAGGAGGAAAAGAGTGGGGGGAGGGAGGGAGGAGGGAAGGGGCAAGGGGGGGAGGATGGATGGAGGACGAAAGAGGTTAGCAGGAGGGGAGGGGGGCAAAAGAGGAGGTAAACAAACGGACGAACCAGACAGACGGGTCGAGCGGCGGACTCTGAGGGGCGGGTCGGGCTGGCGGGGCGGGCGGACGCCAACGGACGGGTCGGGCGGGACTATCGTGGCGGAGCCGTTGTTGTTGTAGTCCGGGGGGCCAACAACACAGTTTGATGCTCAGTTGTGAGGGAGGCGGTCCCAGCGGGAGCGCCGCTCCGGAGTAATTTGCGAGGAAGTCTTCAGGCGGGAGCGCATCCGCCTGAGTAAACTGCGAGGAAGTCCAGGCGGGGGCGGGGGTCCGGGAGTAATGCGAGGAAGGCTCAGCGGAGCGCATCCGCCTGAGTAAACGGCGAGTCCAGGCGGGGGCGGGGGTCCTCAGTAAATTTGGAGGAAGTATCAGGCGGGAGCCGTTGTTGTTGTTGTCCGGGGGGCCAACAACGCAGTTTGATGCCCACGACTTTCCCTGATAAAAAAACAGGGTGCGAGCCCCGGAAGGGGCACTTCAATTGAAAAAATACAATATCCGCCGGAGGGGGGGATCAACAATAATTACTATTCACTAATAACAGTTCAACAACAACAACAACAACAACAACAACAACAACAACAACAACAACAACAACAACAACAACAACAATTACTAGCACGTGGGGACACTCCGTTCTCACCAGTGCCAGGGTTTTCATAGGAGGCGGGCAATACCCCCACTTTGTGGGGGGGCCGGTTCAAGCTCTACCAAATTTCCAAACGACTCTTCGCCACCACCCACACCCAGCTTCCCGCCCTATGACGTTCGGACACTTCACTTCGTGGCATGCGGACGACCGTGGCTACTATTCAGGGCCCCGCGGCCGACGACGACGGCGTGCGCGCGCGAAGAAAAAACGAATGTGTCCCGCATGGTATTATTTGACAGGGATGATGGCCCTGGCAGGTGCGCAACCGTTGTTGCAGAAGTTCGAAAAAGTTGCTCGCAAAAGCCCGTTTGACAGAAATGTTTAAAAAGTGTTGGGTTTCCTACGAATCCGCAAGAGCGCGCGGGATGAGATTTTGACAATTTTTTGTTGAAAAACCATTGGTTTTTTGATGTTTTTATGTTAAAATCGCTACGAAAACTAAGGTTTTGGAAGGATTTCGTCTTGCGCGCGCGAATGTCCACTTTACCTTATTTTTTGCAAGGGATTCTTGAAATTTGATTATATTAGAACAAGAAATGTCATTTTCTATTGTTTTTTGCAAGGGAAAGCGGATTACAACAAAACAACCGGATCCTGTACACACCCTCTTTTCTGAGGCTTCCTCACGAAAATGATGAAAATGTAGCTGCGGCCTAGGCGGCGCAGGGGGGGCGCGCACCAGGGGGCCCAACAATAATTATTCTTAGAATAAATAATGTTCAACAACAACAACAACAACAACAACAACAACAACAACAACAACAACAACAACAACAACAACAACAACAACAACAACAACAACAAAACAAAAAGCGTTCCCGCTTGGAGACTTCCTCAAAATAGCCAGGACCCCGCTCCGCTGAGATTCCTCGTATTCTATCAGGAATCGCGCTCTCGCATGGGACTTCCGTACAATATTCCTCCTTCGGCGCTCTGGAGTCGCACTCTCGCTGGGGACTCGCTTGCAATGTACTAAAGAATCACGATTTTGTGTGGCAATTTCCGGCAATTTACTCAAGCGCCGCACTCCCGACACTCAGGCAACCAGGAGTCGCGCTCACGCTTAGGATTCCCACGCAGCTCATTTAGAAATCCAGATATCGCTGCTCTACGTGGCCCCGTTGCAGCACTTCGCGGCCCCCATCCCTACCCTTCGTGGCCCCGTTGCAGCCCTTCGTGGCCCCCATCGCTGCCCTTCGTGGTCCCGTCGCACCTCTTCGTGGCCCTTTCGCTGCCCCTCGCGACCCCGTTGCAGCTCTTCGTGGCCCCTTCGCTGCCCTTCGTGGCCCTTCGTGGCTCCCTCGCTACTCTTCGTAGCCCCGTTGCAGCCCTCGGTAGCCCCCTCGCTGCTTTTCGTGGCCCCATTGCAGCCCTTCGTGGCCCCCTCGCTCCCGTTCGCGGCCCTTCGTGGCCCCCATCGCTGCCCTTCGTGGCCCCGTTGCAGCCCTTCGTGGCCGCCGTTGCAGCCCTTCGCGGCCCCGTTGCAGCCCTTCGCGGCCCCCTCGCTGCATTTCGTGGCCCCATACATGCATGTTTTTCGCGGCCCCCGCTCGTTCGCGCCTGTCGCGGCCCCATCTGCATGCCCTTCGCGGCCCCGCCGTCGCCCTTCGCGGCCCCCTCGCTGCCCGTCGCGGCCCCCTCGCTGTACTCAGTGGCCCCGCCCTTGCCCTCTCCTGTCGAATATACGCACGCCCTTCGTGGCCCACGCTTGTTCGCGCCCGTCGTGGCCCCGTGCGCGTGCCCTTCGCGGCCCCGCCGTCGCACTTCGCGGCCCCCTCGTGGTCCTACGTGGCCCCGTTGATACCCTCAGCGGC